AGAACAGAGGCTGAAAACATGGGAAAGTGTTTGAGACCTAGGCCTAAAAGGACTGTGACATCGCACTAAAAAGTTTGTGTGTCACCATCTGGGAAATGGAAGGCCACCACAGGCTTTTTATGCAGGAGAGGAGCATGAGATGTGTGCCTTAGAAAGATCTCTATGGCAGCCACATGGAGAATGGATACAGAGCAACAGGAGGCTCTAATGTAACCAACTGAATGTTTGTGTCTCCCCAAAATTTGTATGTTGAAATCGAATCCCCAGCGTGATGGTCTAAGGAGGTAGGTCCGTGGGAAGTAACTAGGTTTGGAGGATAGATCCTTCATGAAGGGGATTAGTGTGCCTCTAAGAAGAGGCCAGCAAGCTGTCTTTCTGCCTTGTGAGAATACAGTGCAAAGTCCAGTGTCTGCAACCTGGAAGAGAGCTCTCACCAAAATCCTAGCATGCTGTCAACTTGATCTCAGACTTACAGCCTCTAGAACAATGAGAAATAAGTTTCTGTTGTTTGTAAGCTATCCAGTCTATGGTGCTTTGTTATAACAGTTTGAACTGGCTAGGACATATGGAGAGAGATTTTGAGGGTTTGAATTGTGTCGGTGACAGTAGGGATGAAGAAGAAGGGATTAATTCGAGATATTCTTAGGAGGTGGAAATCAACATAGCTTCTTAACAGATTAGTATAGAAATTAAAGATAACCAAAACTTTTAATTTGGTAAATAGATGGTGTATCATTAACTAAAAAAGAAAAAGATGGTTTGAGAAGATGGTAATTATTGTAACTAACACTGAGCACTTTTCTAAGTCCTTTAAAGTACCAACTCATTTACTCTTCACAACAACCATATAAGGTCCCTAATATACAGACGAAGAAAAACAATGCACAGAAAGGTTAATAAATGTGCCCAAGGTTGCATAGCCAGAAGTGGCAGAACCAAGATCTGAACTCAGACACACTCTCAACAACCACATTACACTGTACGGTACACAACCAGTTAAATGTCTCTCATGTCTGAGGGACATCAAGTAAGTTGTGTTCAACTGACATTTGGAAAACAGATCATGTTGATGACACTAGAATTCATAGCTATGAATACATCAACATGATTTTATTTCCTGAGGCCATGGGAAAAAAGAGATGGACATTTAGAGTGAAGAGAGAACAAAAATGTGAGAAGCAGCAAGACATCCAAGAAAAACACTCGGAAGGAGTTTTTTCAAGCCGTGATGGTCCACAAGCTGGCTCAGTTGCCACAGCACAGAGGTATACACTTGAAGTGGTCTGGACCTTCTCCATGTGAAAATGGTAGATCCATTCATTATTTGCTGAATGAAAAGATTTACCATCTAGCTATTTGATAGATTTACCATCTAGCTAAAGGATAGCTAAGGGATTCCAGCTCAGATTACGTCATCAAGAAAGGAAACCAGATAGAGTATAAAACAGGAAAACAAGAAAAACAACAAACAAAATGGATGCTCTCAGCTGTTGAAAGGATGATTTATACCCGTGTTTGAGCAAAGCAGCTTCTGCCTCCAGAGAAGCAGCAGCAAAGCTAGCTCATCTCTCAAGTAGTGCCCCATGTCGTTCATCACCCACTTCCCCTACCTGCCCCCCAGCCTACACCATGGGTCCTCTGCTAAGAAGTCAGGGCCCCAGCCATGCTGCAGTAACATCAGAAGTGCACAAGAAAACGTGCTGTTGCATAGACAGTGCAAATAAATAACGGCTCCCTGCGATAATCAGCTTTTGTTTTTAATGGGCTTCATATGACTCATCAGATATCATGTATGCCATAGCCTGAGCTCTGGCTCTAAATCAAACAGGTTCAAAGGGAGGAAGAAAGGAATAATAGCAAAATAAGAGATATCCCAAGAAGCCCTAGTTCTAAAGAGAAAAAACAGAAATGGAGGCAAGGAGAAGACAGTTTCCAGTTTGAGCACATAGGTACAACGGGTCCAGAGAGGGAGGAAGCGGAAACAGCCACTGAGAGAGGCAGCCTAGTTGCCATGGCGCCAACCCGCCAGCCAGCAAGGTTTCATCAGAGCGTCCCTTTTTGCTACAGTTCCTATCTTGTGGGCAGCAAAAGCACCAAGAAAGAAGAAAAAATGGTTGTTTGTATTCTTATGGCTGTAGAGTCATATCTCGACGACCTAACTCTATTTCTAGAAGGGACAAAGAAAAAGTGGTATGAGACACAGACAGCAGCCAAGAAGGGGGTAAACTCCTTCGGAATGTATTAAATCCAACTTCATTCTATGGATAAATGTCCTCATGAGTAAACGCTCATCCCCAAAACATTTTTTTTTTTTTTTGTATTTATGATCCAAGTATCTTGACAGAGAATGTCAGTTTTTTATCAAGGCTCTTTCCCACAGTGACTTCTGATAATGGGGCTTGGGGTTCCTTCCCAGGTGAAAAGCATGAGTCTGTGGCAAAGAAAACAAAATAATGTACTGTTTGGTCAGCAGGCTGGAATGGAAGCCACCCTGAAGGATGCCTTGGCACTAATACATATCAGCAAATGACTTTAGCACTTCTGAGCCTTAATTGCTTCATCTGTGAAATGAGGAGAATGGACTAAGTGAACATTAAGTCCTTCCATTCTCTTAACCTATGCTTGTGGGAGCTCAGGGCAAGGGGGCCCTTCCACGTGTCTTTTCTTTTTTTTAAGACAAGGTCTTAATTCTGTCGCCCAGGCTGGAATGCAGTGGCACAATCTCAGCTCACTGCTTCATCTGTGCCTCAATTGCTTCATCTGTGAAATGAGGAGAATGGACTAAGTGAACATTAAGTCCTTCCATTCTCTTAACCTATGCTTGTGGGAGCTCAGGGCAAGGGAGCCCTTCCATGTGTCTTTTCTTCTTTTTAAGACAAGGTCTTATTCTGTCGCCCAGGCTGGAATGCAGTGGCACAATCTCAGCTCACTGCAACCTCTGCATCCCTAGCTCAAGCAATTCTCCAGCCTCAGTCTCCCAAGTCACTGGGATTAGAGGTGCACGCCACCATGCCCAGCTAAGTTTTCTGTTTTCAGTAGAGTCGGGGTTTCACTGTGTTGGCCAGGCTGGTCTTGAACTCTTCACCTTGGTGATCCACGCCCCTCCACCTCCCAAAGTGCTAGGATTACAGGCTTGAGCCACCAGGTGTCTCTTGTATGACATTAAGCTGTCTATATGTCAGGACCCTGATTGTGCCTTCAGGGACACACAACTCAATGGAAGCAATAAGTAAACACATACACATTCACAAAGTTAGATCCCTATATTTGATTAAACCATGGGTTAGTGGGCAGGAATCATGTCTTATGCATCTTCACACACTCAATATCCAGCACAATCCAGGCACTGGGCTTAACAAATGTTTACTTCATGCATTTTGAGGCAAATCTTTAAAATGTCATATTATGAAACTTTTCAAACGTGCCAGTTATGGATTGAATTGTGTTCCCCTAAGATGCACATGTTGAAGCCCTAACTCCCAGTACCTCAGAATACAATGTTTTTCGGAGCTAGGACCTTTATAAAAGCGATCAAGTTAAAAAGAGGTCATTAGGGTAGGTCCTAATCCATCCTAATGGTCTCTTTACAAGCAGAGGAACTGTGAATACAGTTGAGGAGGACACGAAAAGACAAGGAGGATGAACAGAAGGAGGATGACATGAAAAGACAGAAGGAAAAGACAGACATCCACAGCTAAGCAGTAAGGCCTGGAACGGATTCTCCCTCACAGTCCTCAAAAGGTACCAAACCCAATGACATCCTGACCTTGGAATTTCAGGCTCCAGAACTGTGAGGCAATAAATTTCTGGTTTTGAAATCACATAGTTTTAAAGCCACCCATTTATGGTACTTTGCTATGGTATCTCTAGTAAACTAACACAATATCCAGAAGTAGAGAGAATTCTATAACGAAGCCTCCCATCACACTCACCAGCCAGATCTTTCACTCCAGCATACTTCACTTTGCACCTCTAAAATATATGGACATTTCCTTGCATAACAACAATACCATTATCAAACCTAACAGAATTAACACTAATTTTAAAGCAGATTTAATTTCTAGAAGAAATAAACCTTATACTAAAATACACACTTACAGACCTCCACTAAAACTATTAACACTATTAGGCCAGGTGCCGTGGCTCATGCCTGTAATCCCAGCACTGTGGGAGGCCAAGGCAAGTGAATCACTTGAAGTCAGGAGTTCTAGACCACCCTGGCCAACATGGTGAAACCTTGTCTCTACTAAAAATACAAAAATTAGCTGGGCATGATAGCATGGGGTACCAGCTCCTCAGGACACTGAAGAAGGAGAATCTCTTGATCCTGGGAGGCAGAGGTTGCAGTAACCCGAGATTGTGCCACTGCACTCCAGCCTGGGTGACAGAGTGAGACTCTGTCTCAAAAAAAAAAAAAAAAAAAAAAAAAAAAAGCTATTAACACCATCAAAAACAAAACACCAATAAGCTTGAAATTTTGTCAAGCAACCCTCAGAGGATAAGCAAGACTCTCAGAATAATTCAATGTCTTAATTAGCTCTCATATTCAACATATTACCTGAAAGTAAAAACCTATGTACGTTACTTTATTCGAGTACAGAAAAGAAGAATGCAGTGAGTTTGCATAGTCACTCACTGGTCACCGAAAATGCACTTTTCACAAACTAATCCCAAGAAGTTCAGCAGACATCGTGAAGTCTTTAGTTTAAAAATAATACGTGCAATGGTATTTTATGTTAAATTGCACGTAATTTAAGCACATGAAAATTGACATGACCAAGCTCAAAACCACTACCAAAAGAAAAAAAAAAAAGATAAATACAAAACCATACCTTGAGAGGGTAAAGAAACGCTTGTTGTGATTTTCCAAGAGGTTAGAGACTGGAGTTACCAAGACTACAGTAATTGACAACTTCCAATCACATGTCCTCTTCAGGAAGGTTACTTTTTATCTAACGTTAAGACAAAGAAAAATATTAAAGTCAGAATGGCCTACTTACAGAAGTTTTTCAAAAGAGCCTTTTGAAAAGCGGTTCGCTCCATCAACTTTCAAAACAGGCATTGCTGTAAAAACCCACAATCCAGCTAATTAGTCTCAGCTGTTCGTCATATGGCACTGCAGACCAGTCAAGTGATTTTTGCCCCTTTCAAGCTTACCAGGTTCCAATTCGACTGGCCTCTCAGACAGAGGGAGGCTTTATTAACTTCTTCTGGTGTTAGAAGACTAGTACTTCAACTCTTTCTTCCTCCCACTTACGCCATGAATCAGAAAAGTAGAACATTTGTTTTCCTGAGAAAACCTTTTGAAAAGTATTGTGTTCTCAAGGCCCTTAAAGGTTATATTCGCATTGTTGCTTACAAATCCAATGCCGGATCCAAACAATATGGAAGATCAAATGGAAGTGGCAGGAGGGATGGGGCTAGATTACTTACCAGACCTTGCAGCTGGCCTCAATTCCTTAAGTAAAACTGCCTACAATGGAGTCCACCCAGATATCTTGCTGACACCTCAAATCCAACATGTCCTCTACTCAACTTACCTACTTTGCTTTTCTCCATAACGTTGCTTCAAATCCACTTCTCTTCCTGTGTCTTGAATCACACAATCCCAAAACATACAGCCAGAAATCTAATGGTTCTCATTAACTCCTCCCTCTCTGCCCTTCCCACTTCCAATTGGCCAACAAGTCCTAAGGATATTCATTGTCTCGCCCTTACTCCAAGTTTGTATTATTTCTCGGATGGCTGTAATTAAACTACTTACTTGGTTTTCTGGTCCCCATGTATTGTTGCCTCTGATCTCTCCTCCACACCACACCCAAAGTGATCTTTCCAACAGGCAAATGAGGGTCCATCACTCTCCTGTCAATGGCTCCCCACAATCTCCACAATAAAATCCCTACTCCTTAGGCTTCTGCCTTCAGTATCACCTGCCTCCTGCCTATAAGCTGCTAGAGTACAGCCACCAGAACGCTTTGTAATTCTCTAAGTTAAGTGGTTCTCAAACTGTGGTTCCAAGACCAGTATTATCAGCATCTTCTAGGAACTTACTAGAATTGCACATTCTTGGGCCCACCCCATTGAATCCGAAATTCTGAGGATAGGGCACAGCTGTCTCTGGTTCAACAAGCACTCCAGGTGATTCTGCTACACACTAAAGTGTGAGAGCTGCTGCTCTAAATCCACCAAGCTCTGTTCACCAAGAGACTCAGCTCCTTGGCTCCTTGTGCTAGCAATGCTGAGCCAAATGCACCTTCCCTGTGCTTCCGATTTCTAGAACTGGTCACCCCTGAATGCTAATTATTCATTAGATTTCTTGATCTTTATTGTTGGTTTGCCACAATCTTGAAGACAGGAGTTGTATCTTGTTTTTTATTCATTCACTCCACAATCACTTATTGAGCACTTACTAATTATTAGGTAAAATGTTGGACATATAACTAATCAATCTATCCCTTGCTTCTAGGAGAAGCTACACTTTCATTCTGGCAGCTCAAAGTGTGACTGAAGACTCAATCTGTTCAATCTAAAAATACCACCACCAACCTCAAGAACAGTGGGCAACTAAGAAAATCTGAGCACGACCCGTCTGATATCTCTTCTCATGCTGAACAAAATGGAATTTTTGTTTCATACCTGATGAAAACTCATGAAAATGCACCCCTTTCTCTTTTACATCTCACAGCAACCTCTAGAATTTTGAGAATAATTTAGCAAGAAAATGTACCAAGATTTTTAAATCCTAGATTAAAATTCATTAGACTTAAGTTCTTTTAATTACAAGTTCATATTAGCAATTCTCAACCCTTAGCATACATAGGAATCTCCTGGGGATCTTTCAAAATGCCAGTTCTGATTCTACATTGCCGTAGGGGGACCAGGAGTCTATATTTCTAGTAAGCACCCAGGTAATACTGACATTCCTAACTCTGGAACTATACTTTGAATAGCAAGTGAAATTAGGACAATACCATTTTTCATAGTCTCCTTAAAGCAACAAAACCTTTTTTGGATGCTTTTGCATTGAAAGCTTTCTAAAATGTCTTTCAGACTTCAGAATAAAGATGGCATGCTCAACATGTACATGCAGTTCTGCTGCCTCCCAAAATCTCACTAATAACAAAGAATGTTTTATTTCCTTTAGACATAAACTCACAAGGACAAAGATCAGGTAATGGAATCAACAAAAAGGTAGAAGCTAGAAAGTAGATGGACTAGTAACAGCTTAACAGACCTAGAAAGCTGACTCTTTATCTGCCAGTAGGGAAATCTAAAAAGCAACTCATCACAGAAGCTCCAGAAAGTCTCAAGTATTCAGAACCCCAAACTTCTGGAATTTGGGGGACAGAAAAATTGGGACTCAAAACAGACTCAATGGTGGTCATCTGCTTAGAAAGCAGTTCAGCATACCAAGAGAAGAAGAGAATGAAAGAACTACCAGATAGACAGAAAATAAGGTACAAAATGGGATAGTAAGTCTCTATCTAGCGATAATTACTTTAAATGTAAATGTATTAAATTCTTCAATTAAAAGACATAGAGGCTGGGCACAGTGGCTCACACCTGTAATCCTGGCACTTTGGGAAGCCAAGCCGGACAAATCACTTGAGGTCAGGCCTAGCCAATATGATGAAGCCCCATCTCTACTAAAAATACAAAAAAAATATTAGCTGGGCAAGGTGGCAGGCACCTGTAACCACAGCTACTCAGGAGGCTGAAGCATGAGAATTGCTTAAACCCCAGAGGCGGAGGTTGCAGTGAGCCAAGATGGAGCCACTGCACTCCAGCCTGGGCGACAGAGCAAGACTCCATCTCAAAAATAAAAATAAATAAAAGACATAGAATGACAGAATCTATATTAAAAAAATAAGATACAATTATTAGCTCTCTGAAAGGGAGTCATTTTAGATTTAAGGGCAGACAGACTGGAAGTTAAGGGATGGAAAAAAATATTTCATGCAAATGTAAACTAAAAGAGAGCAGGGGTGATTATACTTCTATCAGAATAGGCTTCCAGTAAAAAACAGTCACAAGAGACCAAGAAGGTAGTTGTGTGGTGACAAGGGAGTGAATTCATCAAGCAGATGTAACAGTTGTAAACATGTAGGCACCTAATATCAAAGTACCTAAACATATAAAGCAAATATTCACCAAACTGAAAGGAGAAATAGAATAAGCTAAATTCTCTTCTTCTGTATTAAAGTATCAAAGGATAATGCACTAAAAAAAATTACTGAAAAATTGACCATAGAAATATAAATGTGTCATTCAAACACTAGGTGTGTAAACTATTAGCAAAGTCAGCTAACTGCAAGAGTTCAGTGGTTAACTCTGGGTAGCAGGAAATGGGCTGCGGGAGAGGAGTCTACTGGGTTTTGTAACAGGCCTTGTAGAACAATGTCCACATATAACCTTGTTAAATTTGGCTGGGCACGGTGGCTCATACCTGTAATCCCAGCACTTTGGGAGGCTGAGGTGGGCACATTGCTTGAGGCCAGGAGTTTGAGACCAGTCTGGCCAATGGGGTAAAACCCCGTCTCTACTAAAAATACAAAATAATTAGCTGGGCATAGTGGCGGGTGCTTATAATCCCAGCTACTCGGGAGGCTGAGACAGGAGAGTCGCTTGAACCCAGGAGGCGGAGGATGCAGTGAGCTGAGATGGTACCATTGCATTCCAACCTGGGCAATAAGAGCAAAACTCCGTCTCAAAAAAAAAAAAAGATTGTTTTGTATGGATTTAATTATGTATACCTATAAAGTACCTAAAACTGTGTTTGATACAAAGGAATTTTTCAATAATGGCTATTCTTTTCAAGGTATGTTTGCCCCCATAATAAATGGCTCCTGACCACTGTATTGATTTCGTGTCTTCTGTTAATTTGTATTTCCTTCTTCCCGCCCTCACCTTTGCTATCAGTCAGGCAGCTACCCTTCACCACAGTAATACCTTCCTGGGACAACCCCTAGCCTTTCTGATGTGCTATTTTTAATTGACAAGGCACCTGAAAACCAAATAACCAAGGTTTTTAGAACTGCGTGTAAAATGAAGGAAAACGGGCACCAAAAAATGTTCTGCAAGTTGCCTTGTAAGGAAGGTTGGCAATTTTCAATATATTAACCATCTGTCTAAATCAGAACCCTTTGGCCTTACTATCAATTGTGGATCAGCAGGCTGGGTGACAGTGGGACCAACCATCCTCGTTTAGTGGGGACTGTCTGAGTTATAGCACCAAAAGTCCTGCATCCCTGGAGACCACATCCCAGCATCAGGCAAATTACTTAATCCTCTTGAACCTGTTTCATCATCTGTAAAATGATGGGTAATATCTGCTTTGAAAGCCTGTTGAGGATTAAATGAGAAAATGTTTGTATGATTCTTGACACATATGGTAGCTGTAGCTATTACACTCACTTGCATATTGTTATTATCAACTCTAATATCAGGTAGAGAAAGGAAGTTGTCTTAGAAACATAACCTGTAATTTGCTTTATATATAGTGGACCTCAGGAAGCTGCAATGTTTGCTTTTGTGAATTTCCTTCCCATGTTGTAATACACATTTTGTTTCAGGGACTAAGACATATTGAAGAAATTTAATAGTTCAACATTTCTGAGTTCTCTACTGAACAAAAAGCCCGGCAGGTTTCCACTATCTTCTCACAGACATGACTCTTTTACACTATGGGAGTGGCCACTTCTAAACTTGTGGGCAGAAATCAGCCTGTCACCTCACAAAGAACATCAGTCATTATATCTGACATTTGTTTTTAATTTTCATTTCACTTTTTTCCTTCATAATGGCAGCAAATTATTCAGTCCTCTGATTCACTTTTAAATGTGTCAATTCTATCTCCGAAAAATAAGGCCTTTTATCACCAAACAGATGAAATACCATTTCTGACCTCAAAACCTGAAGCAACTCACTACTCCACAGTTACTAATCACAGCCTGAAGGAAATTCCTCACATCTATGCACCCCACAGACACAAGGGCAAAGTTGCTATAAGAACAGTTACAAACTTTGAGATAGATAATGAAAACGATCACAAGTTACGCAAAGCCAAAATATGGCCTAGGAACCCTCTGAGAGACAGTAGAGAGAGCAGAAAGAGCCAGGCAGGTAAGACTCTTAATGAAGGCTCCCAAAGCCTCTCCTCCCATACTCAAACTTCTTCTCCATTTAGTGTCCAAGGCCTGTGAGCACAAAACACAGGAGAACACAGAACCTCAGAGAAGCCTTGAGGGGCAACTGGTCAACTAATTAGGGCAAGTGAAAATGGACCCAGGACTGGCAGCAGAATCACCTAGGGTATTTGATGAGAATCCAAAATTTTGGGTCCCATGCAGCCCTCTGAATTAGGATCTCTGTGAGGGAGGCCTAGGGAATTTGCATTTGTAACAAGCTTCCCAGGGACTATCTGGTTATACACAATAAAGTTTGTAAGTCTCTGTTCTAGGGGGACAAACAGATGGCAAAAACGCACAACTATAGTTACGCAAATAACCTGCAGGTCAAGATCATATTAACCTCTACCAGCCTCAGATACCAAAGCTGTAAAATAGGGACAGTAACACTGATGACCTAGCAATGTGGTAGTGAGAATTAAATGAAATAAACAGCAGCCTCACACCCAGTACCTCACACAGAGCAGGTGCTCAATAAATACTAGTCCATTTCCTCACTTGCGTATGGCATTCTAATGAAGGCTTAACAACAATCGTTCCTGTTTTGAAAACTATCTCCAAGGAAAGCAGATGGCTAGCTTAAGTTACAGCCTCAATGCTAATGACTCATCAGCTACAAAGGCCAAGGTCAGCAGCTTTAACCAGTGGTTAAGTCACGAAATGTAGCTGTAGACAGTGGTTCTCAAGCTTCAGTGTGCATCAGAGTCACCTAGATGGCTTTAAAACACAGACTCTGGGCCCCACCAGAGTTTCAGATTCAGTATGTCTGGAGTGGGGCTGAAAATCTGCATTTCTAAGTTCCCAGGTGGTGCTGATGTTACTGGTCCTAATCTGACATTTGGTGATAAAAAAAAAAAAACACAAAACTGTGCCATGTATATTTCCTGTTTGACACCAGACTGGTTAGTTACATGTAAATAGAGAAAAACTAAGAAACCAACAATTTCCGAGGCTGCGCTGCCTCTGTCCCTGAGAATCTTACTATGTTTTTTGAACAATGCATAGAGAGGACAGGGAGATCTAAGTTCCATCTTCCCACTCACTTGCTGTGCAACTCTGCATGAGACATATGATCTCTTTAAGCCTGAGTATACTCAGGCTGGGAGTAAAAGTGAGCTAGGCACTGGTTCCCAAACCAGGCTGTCCACCATCAATCACTACGACAGTATTTTAAAGAAAACATGGATTCCCCAGCCCTAGCCACGAACCTAATAAATTAGAATCTCCAAAGGAGAGACTAAAAAATGTGTGGTTGTTTTTGTGGGTATGTTTTAAACAAAAGCTCCCTGTGCGATTATCATGTCCAGTCAGTTTTGAGGAGCCATTATCATGGTAATCTTTCTCCAGCATTGAAGTTCTTGTGTCTTTTTGATTTCCAGTTCACTGGGTTCTGAGTCTATGCTTACCAAGTAGCCTTCTTCTTTTTCATTTGCTTCACCTGGATATTCTTCCTACAGGAAGCATACACTTTCCTCAAAGAAAATAATCTACTCTGCTTAGCAGTTCCATTTCTCATATACCAATAAACTGGCATTCTGGTTTCATTTAAAAGACAAAGTCCAGGATGGGTGTAGTGGCTTATGCCTGTAATCCCAACACTTTGGAAAGCCAAGGCAGGCAGATCACTTGAGGTCAGGAGTTTGAGATCAGCCTGGCCAACACAGTAAAACCCATCTCTACTAAAAATACAAAATTTATCCCAGCATAGTGACATGCTTCTGTGGTCCTAGTTACTTGGTAGGCTGAGGTGGGAGGATCAACGTGAGCCCAGGATGTTGAGGCTGCAGTGAGCCAGATGACAAAGACAAGAAACAATGGAAGGGAAGGAAGAAGAGAAAGGAAGAACAGGAAGGGCAAAGGGAAGGGGGAACA